CGCACATCCTAGCATTTTTGATGGGTTTCAAGTATTTCAGTATTAAGCAAGAAATCGGACAAACCTGGATATACCGGTAGTTCTGAGCGCTAGTTCCTTTTAAACTCAGATAGATGGATGGGAATAAAGCCGTGCTTGATTCGAAAACGAATGAGATCCTAAAAATGATGCTACTTAGAAACTTGCTTTGAAAAGGTTTGACCAATGAAAGGAGGTGAAAAATAAATTTTTATAAGGGTTCAATCAAGGGTAGTAGTTAAAGACCCAGTTCACGATATTTTTGAGTTATCCAGATTATGACGAAAATGGGAGATATGATGGAAAATAGTGAAATGAAGGCGAAGGAACAGCGTGAATCGGTGTTCCCAAAGTGAAAGAAGACTTTAAAAAATTGTTAGAAAGTTGGATGGACGAGAATGAGACCAGAAAAAGGAAGAAGAGTGGGACGTTTGGACCGGCTCTGCAATGTGTCTCATTGCGCACGTGTGTTTCCTGGTGCGAATAAGTGACTAAGGTAAACAAAAATTCATTCACTTATAACCATAAGTTCAAAAAACGCCTAGTAACAGCGAAAGTAGCCCACTTTTTAGCCCCTTCTGGTAGGAAATTAAATAAGGGATCGCAGCAGCAAAAAGAATAACAGAGATTAAAGGGATAGCAGAAAATATCGTCTCATTACTCGACGATCAGCTGATTGTGTATGGATCCTGGAGCGAATATTGCAGTCTGTCGACACTCGTCTGACATCGATCGAGCGACGGGAAGCCGGGACCATCCGGTAACGGGGCTCTCACTATGCCCTAGCTGTTGAGCTTTGGGACTCGACAGCGTCCTTCCTGTTACCCTCGTGGGCCATTGAGTATTCCTAGGGAGAGAACACAGAAACCATTTTCATCGTCAATTGTGCCTTTAAATAAGCAGGGAATGTTCCTCGAAATTAGGATCTGTTTCTATATCGAAAACGACTTTCTCTATCTGAGCGTATTCGAAATCAGAACGCACTCATCATTGAATCGTCGAAATTTCTCGCTGCACATCATATCGGATTCGGACATGCCAGCGTCGTAATTGCAGTACGGGAATCCGTAGAAACCCCACCGAGCGTATGGCCTCAGATGTCGTGCCAGGCCAATCGTCAAAAGAAAGATCTTCCTAAATTCAGAAATTTCCTGTGACGAATGTTGAAATTGGGAAATTCAAAAGTCATTACTTAGCAGCCATGTTGAACTCCTTTCTCGCTATTTCTTCGGCTGACTTCTCAGAAATGAAAGGATACTGCTGTCGAACACGGCGGAGAGATTCCCTCCTATAAACCTGGAAACACGGGGGGTTTCATCGCGAAGGTTAGCCCAATGTATGTATTGATAGTGTCATAAGGTCGTCAGTATTATACTATTACCGTATAGCACTTAATGTTTCTTGTTCAAAATGACGATAAAGAAAACTACTGAAGTAAAATGCTGAACTAACGTAATGGAGCAATCTAATACATGGTGGAGCTACAAACAATTTCAATAACAATGAAAGGGTTTTCAAGTTTGATTGGTTATTCACCGCTTTTTTGCCCCAATTCATCTGATACAACGGTCGCCATTCCTCGAAATCGATGACAGCAATACCGTTGAAGTCCTCTCGTGGAATTGCCTCACGAATCTGCTTTGATACTCGAGCGAGATGCTTGTCGAGAGGACAGTTCTGTAAGCAGTGGTGATAGCGAATTCCACTTACATTTGTTCACTACATGAGCAGGAGCCAATGTAGCTAAGCAACAATAAAAACAGAATTCATAGGAGCTGAATCAGCAACTATCGACGTCACGAGAGCACTAGATGCTTCAAGAATGAAAGACAGAGGAACATGAAATGATGTGACCTTAGATATCTAACGAAAGATCATTCGAAGGTATTGAATTGTTAGCTCAATTGTTAGCAAGGGCGCGAGGGTGTATGCAGTGGCAAGTGGCGCACTATCAGACACGCATGGTTACGGAATCCAGCTCCGGATTGGTGTTCGTCTAGGCCCACCCAACTTTCCATTTCTTCAAAGTCGGTTAAATGGTGCCAATCCCGTCGGGAGGGTTGAAGAGTGGCTTGCGCATCGGTCATCGCGAGTCTTTGCATGGGTCACATACTGTCGGTCATCACTCAAGCCCAGGTTCGAAGTACCTTTCTTCTGTGCTAAATCTATGTTCCAGTTATCTATGCTGTTAATGTAGAATGATCACGTGACAACGATGTTATTTCGGGGAAGTACTAGGGCCCGCAGATTTTCGAATCCCGCGCATAATCGTCTTCGGTCTCTGGTATATAAGCCAACCAATAAACGTCGCCGATCAATCAGTCGCACATCCGAAACGATCACTCCCTTTTTGCCTAGTTAATCTTGTTATTTGTATTTTAAATGTGATCCAAGTGTTGTATTCTGGTTTGATTACCCAAGTTTGAGGTAAAGCGTCAAGTCANCAGTTTGAAGAGCCCAGTACGGCGATATACATACGTTTCAAAACCTTCACGGTTTTTGTATACCTGTTACTGAATGGGAGTCGAATACGATAGTGCTCATCCCAGACTGATTGAACCAACGGCAAGGACCTATCCTCCCTATTTTTCAACTATAGGAACCCCATATCGTAAAAAGTGGAAGTGTCTTTCAAGGATAGCAGAAATAAGGGCCTGAAATGGTATAATGCTATAATGCTTGACAGGTCACCGAATGGCTCATACAGGCAAATTTCCAACGATTACATTCCATATTTCAAGGCTGTAATATTTGAAAAATGTCAACGTTAACAGCGTTGAAGCAGAAATGTACTTCCTCCGTTTTTTGTGAAGTGTGGAGCTGTCTGATTCTAAAGCTGTTCTGTCAACTTTCAATCACCTTGACACAGACCAAGCAGTGAAAAAGAACTATCTGAAGGACATTCCGGTAGGATAGTCCACCCCTGTCCCCCTTTGCAGAAAGGATGAGTTAGAATTAAGAAGTCGAGGGTAAACAGGATTAACATAGGATGAGGGATGAAGAGCACGGTGCCCGAAAAGCGCAAGTATGGGTTTGAGTTCCGTCCTAGGCCGGAGTCTTACCGCAACTCGCCAACCCTGTAAGACATTCGCATTAAGTACTGCGGCGAACTAAGTGTAGTCAGCATGAACATCAAGTCAAAATGGGTTCGGAATAGCTTTATACGAACGTCAATTCTTGTATCGTCCTTAAGCTCGAGGATGAAGTTCCAAGAAGTACATATTATTGCCTCAATAGCCTTTTAAGGGAAGGCCTGTAAATATTTCGGACTCACGCTCTGTGGTTCCCAGAGTATTTATGATGTTTCGCAAAAAAACCTCTACTAGTAAAACTAGTAAAGCCTTGAAGACGCAAAAACTCCCGTTGAAAGCCGATCTGAGCAATTTTGTCTTCTATGACGACGCTCATTCTTGGCTTTCGAGCTAACGAGTGCCCTTTTGCGCTATACCCGGACAGAATGGCAACGGCTGCTCTGACCGATCTTGCTGTAACTTCGCGTCCAACCGTGCCCGAGCTCTACCTCTTTCCCCACAACTTTATGTCTCGTAGGGAACATGAAAGGGCTCCAGAGCCAACAAGTTAAACGCTCCTATCTTCCCTGCAGTCCTTCACATCCCACACCACGATCAGATTCAATCTTTTGTCCTTTCCTGTGTGCAAGTAATCAGGACAATGATTTACTCTGTTGGGTGAACTTGCCGCAGAAACGTTTGAGGTTGTGGATTTATGATAGCTGACTAGAACCTAAAGTTTTACAGTCAGAAGAAACTCGCAAAGACCCACCTGAGGTAAACCACCGTTTATCGGCGTGTCCGGATTATAGTCGGCATAATACGGGAAATATCCGAAGTTGTATTCGTAAAAGATCACAATTTGATCACCTAGAAACTCGTGCCCTGGAAAAATGATGAAATCGGACTCGGACACTTCGATACTGAAAGCTATTCTAGTAAATGAGCAGGATATGTACCCAAGAAGAATCTCTACGTGGACTTGTGTAGTGTGATGCTGCGCGCGAATTAGTTGCATCTCTCCGTAGTCCCGTAGAAGACAGTCCCACTATCTAGAAGCCTTTCAAACGAAGAGATATGAACTTATGAGGTCTAGTTTACTGTACACTCTCTTCCTCCGTGAATCGCCTTTCGAAGTTATTAGTCAGGACAAGAAAAAAATAAGTCGTTATTACATGGTGCTAATGTTAGAGAGAGGAATGCGCTAGCGTAGAAGAGTTATGCACAGAAAGCTGGACATCCTTTCGAGGAAGAAGAGTTCAAATAAGGCG